GGAAAAAAAAAAAAAAAAAAAAAAAAACAAAAAAAAAAACAAAAAAAACAAACATACTGCCGACGACAGCTAGTATATTGCAGGTGTAGAGCATCAGGAGACAAAAAGGAGACAAAAAGGAGACAAAAAGGAGACAAAAAAAAACAAAAAAAAACAAAAAACACATACTGCCGACGACAGCTAGTATGTTGCAGGTGTAGAGCATCTCCACGAGGCCGATGCAGCCCTCTGTCTCCTCCTCCTCCTCTCCCCGCCCCGCCACCAGCTCTGCACCCCACAAACCCTAAACCCTAAACCCTAAACCCTAAACCCTAAACCCTAAACCCTAGACACTAGATGCTGGGTGCTGAGTGCTGAATGCTGGGCAGAGAGAGGATGCTGAGAGTAAATATAAAAACAACTTGAAAAAAATAAAAAGGGTTTAGGGTTTAGGGTTTAGGGTTTAGGGTTTTAGGGTTTAGGGTTTAGGGTTTTAGGGTTTAGGGTTTAGGGTTTAGGGTTTAGGGTTTGACCTCTTTGGAAGGTTTTTTTGAAGGGTTCAGTGCTGTAAACCACAAACCCTCGTCGTGTTGCTGCTACTATACACCTTGCGTTCTGGTTTAGAGCCGCAAACCCTAAACCCCCGCCCCCAAACCCTAAACCACAAACCCTCGGTGATGACCCTGGGCCCCCAGGGGAGGATAGATGAATCCCGCGGATTGACATTGTATCCCTCTCCTCCTGCTGCTCCTGCTGCTGCTGCTGCTGCTGCTGCTGTTGCTGCTGCTGCTGCGTGTGCTCCTGCCGCAGGAGATGCTGCTGCTGCTGCTGGTGCTCCTGCTGCGGCTGCTCGTGGAGGTGACGGTGGTGCTGATGCTGCTGCTGCTGCTGGTGATAGTGCTGCTGCTGCTGCTGCTGCTGGTATCGCTGCTGCTGCTGACGAGGTGCTGCTGCAACGTCTGTTGCTGCTGCTGCTGCTGCTGCTGCTGCTGTAGGAGTGCTGTGGCTCCCGCTGTCTCTTCTCCCGCTTGCTGTGTTGTTGTTGCTGCTGCTGGTGTTTGTCCTGCTGCTGCAGTTTATCCTTCTGCTGCAGGTTGGAGAGAAGAGCTGCAGCAGCAGCAGCAGCAGCAGCAGCAGCTGCTGCTGCTGCTGCTGCTGCTGCTGCTGCAGCGCTAACTGTGCAGCACAGCTACACAGGCCGGACCAGTGGTCCGGTTATTAGAAGGCGTGGCCCCACACCGTCTGCAGAGTCATTGCTGCAGCTCTGAGGTGTACATACAGCTGAATACCTTGCTGCTGCTGCTGCTGCTGCTGCTGCTGCTGCTGGAGCTGCTGTTGCTGCTGCTGTAGCAGTTGGTGCTGCTGCTGCTGCTGTTGCTGCTGCTCTGTTCTCGCTGTTTCAAGCCAAGAAGAAAGTAGAAGTGAGAGAGAAATAGACAAATAAAGAAAAGGAGTCGCATGCATTATCTGCTGAGGTGTACATACACCCCAGCCCACTACAGAGGCCGCTGCTGCTGCTGCTGCTGCTGCTGCTGCTGCTGCTGCTGCTGCTGCAGGGGGGGAGGTTTTCGTGTTTTTCTTTGGCCTTCTAGCATTTGTTTTATTTATTTAATTAAAAAGAAACTCAGCAGCTATATTCTGTCTCCAAACACAGACAGACAGCAGCAGCAGCAGCAGCAGCAGCAACAGCAACTCCACTGCTGCTGCTGCTGTTGCTGCTGCTGCAGCAGCAGCAGCAAGCCGAAAGAACAGCAGCAGCAGCAAACAGCAGCTGCAGCAGATATTTTTCTTTTCTTTTTGTTTTTTGTTTTTTTATTATATAAACAAAACCACCAGCGGGCTGCAACAACTCCATACTTGGGGTGTACACGCAGCTGCTACGTACACACAGTCTTTACGCAAACCCTAAACCCTAAACCCTAAACCCTAAACCCTAAACCCTAAACCCTAACCATACTCCATTGTATTATAGGGGGGGAGCTGTACTATCAGCAAAGCGATCCCAAGGCGATCCCAGTACAATATACAACGATCCCATATACATATATATATATATATATATATA